AGCCTTTATCCAATTCTTCCTTTTCCTTCTGGAATTGTTCCATCCTTTCCACTCGAGCCTGAAAGAGAGGGAAAAAAAAATGAGGAAATATAAAATAAAATTGGAAAAGAAATAAAAATATCAAGTTGGAAAATCCAAAAAAATTTGATTTTTCCCAATTGGGGGTTTTGTTTTATTTCCCTTTGAGGAAATTTGGGATTTTGGTGTTTTTAAAGGGTTTTAGGATGAATTTTTCTGCCTCATTTAAAATTTCCTGAGGGATAAAAAATCCAAATTTGGGTTTTATTTCTCCTCAATTTGAGGAAATTTGGGAAAAAAATCCCAATTGGGGTTTTTATAGGGTTTTAGGATGAATTTTCTGCCTCATTTAAAATTTCCTAAAACATAAAAAATCCTAATTTGGATTTTATTTCTCCTCAATTTGAGGAAATTTGGGAAAAAATCCCAATTGGGGTTTTTATTTTTCCTCAATTTGAGGAAATTTTGGATTTTGGTGTTGCTAAGGGTTTAGGATGAATTTTCTGCCTCATTTAAAGTTTCCTGAGGGATAAAAAATCCCAATTTGGGTTTTATTTATCTCAATTTGAGGAAATTTGGAATTTTGGTGTTTTTAAAGGGTTTTAGGATGAATTTTCTGCCTCATTTAAAGTTTCCTGAAGGATAAAAAATCCCAATTTGGGTTTTATTTCTCCTCAATTTAAGGAAATTTGGGATTTTGGTGTTTTTAAAGGGTTTTAGGATGAATTTTCTGCCTCATTTTGAGAATCCTGAGGGATAAAAAATCCCAATTTGGATTTTATTTCTCCTCAATTTGAGGAAATTTGGAATTTTGGTGTTTTTCAGGGTTTTGGATGAATTTTCTGCCTCATTTTGAGGATCCTGAGGGATAAAAAATCCCAATTTGGGTTTTATTTCTCCTCAATTTGAGGAAATTTGGGATTTTGGTGTTTTTTCAGGGATTTGGGATGAATTTTCTGCCTCATTTAAAATTTCCTGAAAGATAAAAAATCCCAATTGGGGTTTTTATTTTATTTCCCTTTGAGGAAATTTGGAATTTTGGTGTTTTTTCAGGGTTTTAGGATGAATTTTCTGCCTCATTTAAAATTTCCTAAAACATAAAAAATCCTAATTTGGATTTTATTTCTCCTCAATTTGAGGAAATTTAGGAAAAAAATCCCAATTGGGGTTTTTATTTTTCCTCAATTTGAGGAAATTTTGGATTTTGGTGTTGCTGAGGGTTTGGGATGAATTTTTCTGCCTCATTTAAAGTTTCCTGAGGGATAAAAAATCCCAATTTGGGTTTTATTTCTCCTCAATTTGAGGAAATTTAGGAAAAAAATCCCAATTGGGGTTTTTATTTGAGGAAATTTGAGGAAATTTGGGATTTTGGTGTTTTTAAAGGGTTTGGGATGAATTTTTCTGCCTCATTTAAAGTTTCCTGAGGGATAAAAAATCCCAATTTGGGTTTTATTTCTCCTCAATTTGAGGAAATTTGGAATTTTGGTGTTTTTAAAGGGTTTTAGGATGAATTTTCTGCCTCATTTAAAATTTCCTGAGGGATAAAAAATCCTAATTTGGGTTTTATTTCTCCTCAATTTGAGTAAATTTGGAATTTTGGTGTTTTTAAAGGGATTTTGGATGAATTTTCTGCCTCATTTAAAGTTTCCTGAAGGATAAAAAATCCCAATTTGGGTTTTATTTCTCCTCAATTTGAGGAAATTTAGGAAAAAAATCCCAATTGGGGTTTTTATTTCACGAAATTTGAGGAAATTTGGGATTTTGGTGTTTTTAAAGGGTTTTAGGATGAATTTTCTGCCTCATTTAAAATTTCCTGAGGGATAAAAAATCCCAATTTGGGTTTTATTTCTCCTCAATTTGAGGAAATTTGGAATTTTGGTGTTTTTAAAGGGTTTTAGGATGAATTTTCTGCCTCATTTTGAGGATCCTGAGGGATAAAAAATCCTAATTTGGGTTTTATTTCCCTCAATTTGAGGAAATTTGGGATTTTGGTGTTTTTAAAGGGTTTTAGGATGAATTTTCTGCCTCATTTAAAATTTCCTGAGGGATAAAAAATCCCAATTTGGGTTTTTATTTTCCCTCATTTGAGGAAATTTGGGATTTTGGTGTTTTTAAAGGGTTTTAGGATGAATTTTCTGCCTCATTTAAAATTTCCTAAAACATAAAAAATCCTAATTTGGATTTTATTTCTCCTCAATTTGAGGAAATTTAGGAAAAAAATCCCAATTGGGGTTTTTATTTGAGGAAATTTGAGGAAATTTGGAATTTTGGTGTTTTTAAAGGGATTTGGGATGAATTTTCTGCCTCATTTTGAGGATCCTGAGGGATAAAAAATCCCAATTTGGGTTTTATTTTCCCTCAATTTGAGGAAATTTGGGATTTTGGTGTTTTTAAAGGGATTTGGGATGAATTTTCTGCCTCATTTAAAATTTCCTGAAGGATAAAAAATCCCAATTTGGGTTTTATTTCTCCTCAATTTGAGGAAATTTGGAATTTTGGTGCTTTTAAAGGGGTTTTAGGATGAATTTTCTGCCTCATTTTGAGAATCCTGAAGGATAAAAAATCCCAATTTGGGTTTTATTTTCCCTCAATTTGAGAAAATTTGGGATTTTGGTGTTTTTAAAGGGTTTTAGGATGAATTTTCTGCCTCATTTTGAGGATCCTGAAGGATAAAAAATCCCAATTTGGGTTTTTATTTCTCCTCATTTGAGGAAATTTGGAATTTTGGTGTTTTTAAAGGGATTTGGGATGAATTTTCTGCCTCATTTAAAATTTCCTGAGGGATAAAAAATCCCAATTTGGGTTTTATTTCCCCTCAATTTGAGGAAATTTGGGATTTTGGTGTTTTTAAAGGGTTTTAGGATGAATTTTCTGCCTCATTTAAAGTTTCCTGAGGGATAAAAATCCCAATTTGGGTTTTTATTTCCTTCCCCTTGTAGGAAATTTGAGATTTTGGTGTTTCCAAGCGTTTTGGGATGAATTTTCTGCCTCATTTTGAGGATCCTGAGGGATAAAAAATCCCAATTTGGGTTTTTATTTCCCTCAATTTGAGGAAATTTGGGTTTTTGGTGTTTTTAAAGGGTTTTAGGATGAATTTTCTGCCTCATTTAAAGTTTCCTGAGGGATAAAAAATCCCAATTTGGGTTTTATTTTCCTCAATTTGAGGAAATTTGGAATTTTGGTGCTTTTAAAGGGGTTTTAGGATGAATTTTCTGCCTCATTTTGAGAATCCTGAGGGATAAAAAAGCTCCGGATGAGGCAGGGATGGAGGAAAAGGAGCGGGAATATTTTTTGGAAT